TTTCTGATGAATTTCTGTTGTCTTTTCATACTCGTTGAGTTACTGGTGTCTCTTTTGTCCATGTGTCCTAAAGGGTCTCGTCTCCACTGGTCTCAGTCTGCATCTGCTGATGACTCTGATTCTCTGGCAGTGGAGATCAGCTCATATGTGCTGCTAGCTGCTCTCACTGCAGATTCACTCACTTCAGCTGATCTGGGCTTTGCTAACAGGATTGTCAGCTGGCTTGTGAAGCAGCAGAATGCCTATGGAGGATTCTCCTCCACACAGGTGACCCAAACTACTCAAATCAAACACATGATTGCTGAATAATGGGTAAAAATCACATTACTGAACACATTAATTTCTCAGGACACAGTGGTGGCTCTTCAGGCTCTGTCTTTGTACGCCACCAAAGTGTTCAGCTCTGATGGCTCCAGCACAGTGACTGTACAGTCAGCAGCAGACACTCACCACTTTGATGTCAATCAGGACAACAAGTTACTGTACCAGGAGAAGCAGCTGCAGAACGTTCCTGCCAAATACAGCATTGAAGCGAAGGGCTCAGCCTGTGCGTCTGTGCAGGTCTGTAGTGCATTCAGCTTCATTGACTCACACTCAATCTCTCTCTTTCCTTTCTTAGCATTTTGTGGTTATTTTGCTGTGAGATGGATTGTACATGTTTTTTTGTTTGTGTTGACTCTATCAGGTGGCTCAGTTCTACAACATTCCCACTCCTACTGAAGCTAAAACGTTGAGCATTGATGCTAAGTTTGAGGGAGATTGCAAAACATTGGAACAAAATTTCATTTTGAACTTCACTGTCAAGTAAAAACAGATTTAGATTATTATTATGACTACTGTTTTGTTTTAAGGTGTATAAACACCTCTTTAGTGAATGCCTAAAATGACTGACAATCTGAAAAGTTATTTCTCAGTAGTATCAGTTGTAAAATGCTGTAATTACTTAGAAAAAAATTGGATGCATCTGCTGGTTTAAATGCATACGTTGACAATCTGGAAAGTTATTTCTCAGTAGTATCAGTTGTAAAATGCTGTAATTACTTAGAAAAAAAATTGGATGCATCTGCTGGTTTAAATGCATACGTTGTGTTCCTGTTTGTTTGTGTTTTTAGCATTAAATCAGGCCTGTTAATTTTCTCTTTTTAAGGTATGGTGGTCCCCAGAAAACAACTAACATGCTCATTGTGGATATTAAAATCTTATCGGGATTCACAGCTGATACATCAATGGTGCGTTTGGGTGTATAAAGTAATTGTGTATCAAAGTGCCCTTATTATGGGTAATGAAAGGTTCATATTTTGGTTTTGGGAGTCCCCAACAACAGGTTGACATGCATGCAAGGTCAAAAAACACTTTCATTGTCTTATAATATGCATTTATTTTTACCTTACTTGCTCAATGACTCCCAAACGATTCGCTAGCTGTGTTACACACTGCATGAAAAGTAATTTTCAAAAATCCATAATAGAGGCACTTTAAGACATACCAATTTTTACACATTTTTACTACTGTTTCCTTGCATGTTTGCTTTACTTTGCAAAACCTGAAAAAAAAAAAAAAAACACATCATCATCATCATCATCATCATATTTTCATATAAATAATTATATTTTCCCTATAGCTTAGAACATCCTTTGGTTCAGGAGAAATGTATGCTCAGAAGTATGTGGAGCGGGTTGACACAAAAGAAGACCATGTCATAGTTTATTTAACAGAGGTAAATAAATAATAACATTTATAAAATTAACATGTATTTA